GTATATAATATATATATATATATATATATATATATATATATACCGAGTCAATTGGTTTTTTTTTAAAGTAGTAAAAACATTGTGTCATGAAGGCATTAATAAAAGTGAGAGAAAAATTATCATGCACTGGTTTTTAAATACCCGTATGCCTTGAGCCATGTTTCTAATTATTTAGAATTCTCGATTACCTAAGACCTTAAACCATAGGGAATGTTGTAAGAATGTCATATTGCTAGGCTTCCTTGACACATGTTGTGTTACTTAAATAACTTGGTTTGTATAAATTTACTACAAAGATTATTAGTATGGTTGAACCTTTGTGGTTTGTGAAGGTTTTGCATATTGTGAAACCAACGGGTATTGAATTACTTATTATACAAGAATGATAATAATGTATATGTTGTATGTGTAATAATTGAGTGAGAATTGCTACAGTCTCACGTTTCTTTTAGCTGCATGGATATTCAGATATATAGATGCAAACTATCTCGTGTATTCAGATGATGCGAAATCTACATTTGCATATTGTTCATGCTTGGAGGTGGTAGAGTTTATTGAAAATAAAAAAGCTGGATGTGGTAGAATTGTCCATCGTGGAGGCAGAGTACGTGGCGTGTTGTTTGGCAGCAATGACGTTGTATGGATTAAGAAATTTCTTAATCAACTTGATTTTTACCCCGAACGTTGTGAGGCAGAAAGGATTTTTTGTGACAACATGGTGGCGATATGCGTGTCAAATGAGCAACGATTCCATAAGAACTCTAAGTATATAAAATATGTTTTTATCATATGAGGAATGAGGTGAAATTGAGAAAGATCCAAATAAACTAAATATTCCTGTGGGAGCACCTGCTAGTATTTGACAGGCCAGTTGTAATAACATACTATAATATTATTCACCCATGGAACTCAAATGTGTGACGCTGGTTGTATGGCTACAGAAGGAAGCAGCTTGTTTGAAGAACCTACTTGAGCCCATGAACATACGACCCCATGTGATGAGGGTACATAACGAGATTATGCGACAACAGGTCCATGATTCACGATGCGATGTGAAAGATGGACTATAACTACTTTTGGGATGAGATGTGTGCAACAAAGAGAAAAAGGCGTTGCCTCTATAAGTCATTTTGTACAGAGATTGATGACAAAAGTCATGATTAATGTATTGAGAGAGAATAAATGAAAAATACTTGAGAAATATTATAATTGGGAGAGAGAGATAAGGATGAGAGAAAGTGAATAAGAGATAATGTAAGGCCTTCAAAGGGCAAACAGGAAATGTTGAGTGAGTGTGGCCATTAAAAGCCTTATGAGTTCTTGTAACATTAACTCAATGGGAATGTGGTCCCTCATGGACCATACTAAAAAAACAATGTTTGCTGATACTGGACTGTGCTTGATGAGCTAGATCAGTCAATTGGGAAAAACCTATGTTACATGGGCATAGAAAACTATCTGATAAGGGTTCTTATAAGTTATTCATTGATGAGGTAGGAGTATACCCGGATGAGTGAGCGGATGACTGTGGGACTCTTGTGTGTGATGGTGGCTTTCAAAGATGGAGGCCAAAGCTTCATCCACGAGCCATCACACGGCATGCATAATGATAGCTGTTTCGGGAAAGAGAATCACCTTTTAGGGTAATGCTTATGCACATGCGAGAGATACCCTATGCACCGTATGAGCTGTGGTTGTATCAGGTCTATGTGACTTTGGTACGTCTCTAGGGGAGAAACTGAAATCTACAAATAGGTATTACGACCATTTTGCTAATTAGCCAGACTTTGGTGACCCTTTGACGAAGCCCTGCATTGACTTTGGGTCATGATAAATGCTTGATCGGTTTGATAAAGCAAGTGTGGATCGTGGTCCACAGTTGAAGGTGGTGCCCCAATGTTTATTTATTTAATTCTTATACCATATGGATCATTTTCTAATCTAATGAATTTATTTGTGTTTGTTTTAATGATATATGATTTTTATAATTATTATTTTAAATTTTCTAGATATTTGGATATTTTATTTATCAAATTTAGGTTTATAAAAACATATATATATAAAAATATTGATTTTAGATTGATTTAAATATATATTTATTTTAGATTGATTTAAATATTCAAATTTGATTTTATGAATTTTTAAAAATCATATAATTAATTTTAATATTGTATGGGAAACCCAATATGTTAATGAGCCCACCATTGCATATGGGTGGAGCCCATGAAGTACCACCTAGGGTGGCACACCCCACCTTAATGAAACTTTCAATGTGTTAGTTCAAGCTTTGACTTGAAGAGACAACTTTGAAGTGTTTTGGAAATATTTTGCCATGAGGAAGCTTTCAAATGATTTTTGGAAATGATGAGAAGGTTTGGGTGTAATTTAGGTAAGCCCTATAGTATGAATGACATTATTTTATTTAATTGAATGACATTATTTTATTTAATTTGTATTGATGGAAAAATGGTTTAGGAATGATGAATAAAAATTTTAACACCTTCAATGATGTTGATGGCCCATCTATAGAACGCAAGATCAAATATTCATATTTAATCTCACAAGAAGAGGCAAACTAAAGAAAATCCTAAAAAACCCTAATCTTGTTCAAGCACTATAAAAAGTGAGATTGATCCCTACCCAAATATCTACACCTTATATCTTACACTTAATTCCCATCTCTTTCTCATATCCCATAAGGGGGGTTCGCCCCACTTAGAATATCTCTATCTCTCTATTAAGAAAGTTCATCTCTCTCCCTCAAGAGATCAAATGGGGCACACCCTACTCACTCATATATTGATATCTATCTCATGGTGGTTATCTCAACACTCTCATGGTTTCTCATCTCTCATTGGAGTTTTAGACTATAGTTGGAGTTTTAGACTATAGGATTGTGGTAGAAATATAAGTATTTTTCTTAAACTTAGTTGCTAAGGGGATTCACCTAAGGGTTTGAGATTTGTGATAAAGAAGTTCATAGTTTCACTAGAGGGCTTGGCCTAAACTTGCTTTCTTGGTTGAGGTTGAAGGTTAATCGTTGATCACGCGCCATCGGATGATGGTGACTCGGTGTGAGATATAATAAGCTCGGTTGACGTAATCTCCGATACTCTTTTTTTATTTCTTGCCATATTTAATTATATTGTCTTTATATTCTCAAGCACTAGAATTGTGATTATTATTTTTGTTTAAAAAAAATTAGCTTAGTGGCATCGATGTTTTCAAGATGTTAGATTTGTTAGTTTTATTTTATTTGAAGCAAGAGTTATTGCAATAAAAGTACTTGTAAGTGATATTTGGCAAATTAAAAGAAAATAAAGAGTAAAGGGTTGAAAAGAAGAAAAAAAAAAAAAAATATCCCTCGGTAAGATCGTATTAGTCATTATTTCACATTTCTCAATCTAAAAAATAGCCCACCCCATCCCAAAAAGCCCATTTTCTAAGAGGCTATAATTTTAGAAAAATATAGGTGAAAGTCGTCGAGGGGGAGCCCAAAAACTTGGCATGTCCTTTAATGATGGATTATTATTGGGTAACCAATAGATCAGAGAGTGATGAGAGAGATATAGTGTAGAGTTTAGTGGGGGGATGAAGCTTTTGGCTTCCCCGTTGGACGAGGTTAGGGAAATGGAGTGGCCAGTACTAGAGGAGGACATTGCTTGTTTCTTCAAGCTCAAGAAGGTTTTCATGCTGGCGAAGCAGCTGTTGAGGATGGGAGCAAGGTTTATCTGGAAAGAGTTCTAATGGTTGTGCATAGCAGCGTTGAGAACATGGTCTCTCTTTTCATAACAGCATTGAGAGAACATAAAATTGAAATTATCTTTGAGTTTTAGGGAACCTTAGTAGAGAGAGAGAAGAGTTTGGGGAAACATAGAAGGGAGAGAGAGCGTGAGAGATAAGGGATAAGGGAGAGAGAGAGAAAAGGGGTTTGGGGAGTCCCTGGGGATAGAGAAAGAGAGAGTGAGAGACATGGCGAAGGGAGAGAGAGAGAGAGGGGGTTCGGGAGTCGCATGAGAAAGATAAAAGAATAGATGGGTTTAAAAATAGTTGTCTTTTTAATATTTGTTTGGACTAAAATAATAGGGTTAAAATGAGTAAAGTTAATCAGATGGGTTAAAATATATAAAAATTAGAATTTTTACGTGGCTCAAGATATATTTTGAAAGACTAATGTAATAAGAAACCTAACACTCGAGGGTACGAGATCCTCGTTATTTTGATCGGCACTTTTTTTTTTAATGTTATTTTGGTTAGCTCTTCTTTATTTTCCATAAATTGACTAAATACTCGTAAAGTACCTTTCCTGCGTTAATTTCCCTGTTTTTAATTAATTATTTTCCATTATTTTATTTATTTTTTGATTTCAAGTACTTGAAAGAATATTTGTTTTGGAGTCGTCAAATTTTGACTCCTTTACTTGGTACAATTCCTTCGCAAGACAAATTATTTTGAGCGCGGGAAAGAGCCCTTTTTATTTATCCCTCACCCTCAGCTTCACCTCCGCAATGCATATGATATACGCCCATTTTCTCCGCCAAATTTAGAAGTGTTCGAGTCATTATAGTCACTGAAACCAGTCCGCCATGGCTGAAGATCCCCAGATCGTTGCAGAGGAAGATGACGAGCATGAATCAAAGGAGATTGTGGTTCGAAAGTATTTTTTGCAGGAGTGGATAGTACTGAAATCCATTATTGATGATATCATTGAGAATGGGGGATCAACTGATCCTGCTTCAATCAATAAAGCTCGGTCAATTGTGAGTCAAGCTATTAATTTCGCTTTCAGTTATCTTGATTAGTTTTTTGCGAAATGGGATGTCATATTGATTTTGAAGTTACTCCAATCTGAAAGAGAAATGGTCTTGCTTTGATTTCTTTTCATAGTTTAGGGTTTATGCTTGGCAATCTTAGGTCTCGCCATGTTTCTCCTTGATTACTGCAATGTGAAGTAGGATTTGTTTTGTTCAAATTTTTTGGTAATTTAGAGTTTACATGATGTGATACTGGATTTAGTTGCTTGTTTTCTAGATTACTGTAATCGGAGAAAGAAACAGCTGAACTTCAATTTTTGGGCCTTTTAAGGTTTATGTTCAACGCCATGAACAAATTAGGTCACTGTCGAGTATAAGTAAGTTGGAAAGCATATCTGATGTTAAATTAGACTGTAATTCTGGATTTCTCATGGCTCTGATACCACTTGTAGGAAATTTTCCGGGCTCACGGTGGAAAATTTTATGAGCTCTGATACCCCTCAGAATTTTTGAAAAACAATCACTTTGCACTATACAGTACAGAGAGTATGTAATGCATCTTACTTTAATTATACTCTTTACAACATAATCATCATTTATTACACTAATTTATTTTAACATTCATTACCCACTTTAATGCAGTACTCATTCTCTCACTTAACACTCTCTCCAACCACTTCCCACATGTTATTTGACCCACAACTCCTCTTTCTCACCCTACACTTTTTTTTGTTTGGGTAAGTAACTCACCCTACGCTCACTCCAATACTTCATTGCATACTCTCTCAGTACACTCCATTTCTCTCTTTCTCTTTCAGTACACTCCATTTCTCTCTTACTCTCTCACACCGCTCGATGCTCACTTCACTTGATGCCTTACTTCCTAGCACACCCCCTATCATAGGCTGCAAGCATCACCTTTGGCATCTAATAGGTGGACACAATTGTGCCACACAGTGTTTTTAGATTCGACTCTGGCCGAGGACTGGGGTATAGCCAGAGCTGAGTTACTCTAGCGAGTTCGAATGACTCACCCAAGTAGTTATAATCTTTTAAATAGAAAAAAAAAAAGTCTAAAAGAAGAGATAAGGAGGGGGGGCGTTGCCCATGTGCCCAAGAGAGGGAAGGCACATGTCCAAAAGGAGGCCACATCTCTCCTTCCTATTTCTTACGCATTTGAGCCCCCATCTCGTCCCTTCTCTCTCTTCGATCTCCCACTCTCTCTCTTCGATTTTTACCTCAATGTTCTATTTCTCAAATCTCCCTCTCTCTCTCTCACGGAGTAAAAGATGCTTAAGAACTTGACCTCTTTTGAGGCCCGTTGCCTGATTTCTTGGAATTTGCAGAGCTCCGGTGGCTTTAACCTCTCTGACTACAAGAGAGAGGGAGAAGAGAGAGAGAATGAGGGAGAAAGAAGTGAAGGAGAGGGGAGGGGAGGGGAGAGGGGAGGGGAGGGAGGGAGAGAGAGAGAGAGAGAGAGAGGAGAAAGAGAGAAGAGAGGAGAAGAGAGACGAAGGAGGAGAGATGGAGAGAGATAAGAGGGAGGGAGGGAGGGAGAGAGCTCTTGGCAGAGAGATGGAAGAGGGATGATGCCCCCATTGAGAGAGAGAGAGAGAGATGTTGGATTGAGATAAGGGTCCCTTGGATACAACTCGGCTTTGCAGAAGGCAACCTTGGCCGAGTCTGAGTGGACAAGGCCGAGTCTTAAAACATTGGTGGTGCCACATAATGTGTGTGTCCCTCTTCTAAACTCCCACTAGCTATCAAGGGAGGGAGGTAGTGGCAAAGCTTTTAGAGAGAGGCAGGGGCCAAGCCACGTGTTGGCACCTACTATTCTCAACCTTAACATTGGCTTTCCTTGATAGTCAATATTTTTCAGTCTTTGCTTTTTCTCCTCCTTTTCAACCTTTTCTTGTCCTTTTTTTCTTTGAATTCTACCTCAACCTTCGCCTTCTCTCTATGGTTCTTTTATGGTGCTGTGATTTTCTCCTTCACGGCCTTTTGCCATTTTGCACTTTAATGTGCCTCTTCATATGAGGCCGGTTAATTTACCACGGCCAGTGCAACATCCATGCATCTAGGGTTCGGTCTTCTTATCCTATTTGAGCGTCGTAGTTGTGGCTCTTCAACGACCTCCTTTAGCTAGCTTAGTCGAGCTTCCTCAAGAGTCCTTAGTTGATGGACACACTATCTTTCCATGGGCTGGTGGGTCCTCTCGACGAGGTTAGTAGACTATTATGCATTTATGATTCCTGGCTAGGTTCAACTGCCTCACTGGGCGAGTGGCATCTTCATCTTGAGTCTCTTCGGTTCTTTGGTCTTTGCTCGTCTCCGGTATTTGGTATTTTTGTGGTTTCTGGAGTCCATTAGGATGATGCTGCATCCAACGACTACGTCTCATGATGTATACCATCGGTTGATTGTCAGGGCGCAACACCTCCACCACTTACGTTTGGTGTCATATCATACGCATATGCACCATAACACCTTCTTCTTGAGCTTTCTGTGTAGTTTTTTGGGAATAAGTACATAACATACACAATCGAATAGTTTAAAGTGACTTATAGTGGGTTTGATGTTCTAGAGCTTCTCATATAGTGAGATGAATCCCATCATCGGCTGTGGTAGTCGATTGATGATGTGTGCCATACACTTGGCCTAAAATCTGCTCGGTACATTTTTCTCATGCCAGCCTTCTTCGCATAATTCAATCGATGTGTGTTCTCCTCCATTATCTGTTCATAGACACCAAACCTTTTGGTTGATCTCCCGTCGACTTTTGTTTGCAATTCTTTGAACTTTGGTAAGACCTCTGACTTTTCCTTTCAGTAGGTACACACACACGTACCTCGGATAGTTAAACGTAAGCATCTATCTCATGCCTCTAATCGACGGTTTCTTTACTGGGCCAAATACATTTAAGTGAATAATCTCCAGCAACTTCTTAGCTTGGTACTTTGATTATATGCATGGCTGTCAATAAGCCTATGGAATTGACAGCCTATTGAGGCCCACATGTCCTAGCTCAGCATGTCAAAGATCAGGACTCTTACTTTGTCGGGTCTTTTGTACTTAGGCTAATTCGGCTGCCATTATGTAAACACGCTCCAGTCATCGGCCCTCCATAATAGGCTGGTCCGACAACTTCAAACTTTGGTATTTTCGTCTCATTTGGGCCAAACACAACCAAGTTGCGTGTTGCTATCAATTGTGATATTGACAAAAAGTTCTATTTCATCCTTGGCACATGGTATATGTCTCGTAACTGAGCTTCTCTTGTACTGAATCTAGGTGTACACACAGCCTTGCCAATGTGGGGCAATCGGAAGCCTTGCATTATTGGCAGTAACAACAACTTTTCCTCCCTTGCACTCAGTGTCGAGGAACTTAGCCTTGTCTCCTGTTATATGGTTTGAACACCTTGAATTAACAATTCAATCTCGATTGTAATCGATGATTTCAAATTTGGAGACTGTACTAAGAGCTAGCTCCTGAGGTTCCTCCAATTGCCTTAGTTCAATTGTTTCGATGACTAGTGTCGGCCCTCTTGTAAAGCTTCTTGGATCAGTCGATGAACTTGTTAGTTTGATCTCGTTGGTTATTGCGAAGGATGCCTAAGCATCCCATTCTTCCTCGATCTCACTCTGGAGACTTGTCGCAATCACCGAGTTTCCTTTGGCAGTCCTCTTTTTCTTTGGCTAGCAGTTGCGACCGAAGAGGCCCTGTTTGCCCTAATTGTAACACTCGATATCTCTTCAGGATCTCTTTGATCGCTGGTTAGTGTTGATGTTGCTACTCTAGCTCCCCCTTGCTTGGAGCCCTCTCTCCATTGACTGTTCTTCGTGGAATCTCCTTTCTTCTTGATCTATCTGCTCTTCAGAGTGAAGAGCACCTCATCCTCATCTTTCATTAATACACTGGCCATCTGTCTGGCCAAGGCCTCCTGATTCACAGTAGACTTTCTAATTCCAGGAAAGATGGCTGTGTCAACCATCCTCTGATGGCTCTCATGAACCCATTCTATGCGGGTCTCATCCTGGTATTGCTGATCAGTGGTTCCGGATTAAGCTTGGAGATCTCGTTGTAGAGAGATTTTACTTTTGTGAAGTATTGGCTGATTATCATCATCCCTTGGGACAACGATTCTAGTTCATTCTTCAGGATTTGGAGTCAAGCATCATTGGTTTTGGCAAGCAATGTTGCTAATGCATCTCAAGCTTCTTTTGGAGTGGTGGTTTTTTAGAAGTGGTCCAACAATTCCTTTTGAGCTATTGTCTTGAGCATGAACATGGCCTTTCCAGCCTTAATGCACCACCATCGCAACGCTTCTACATTTTTTCTTATGAGTGGGGCAGTATCGCTGCTGCCGACAACCTCCCAGAGGTCTTGTCTTTGTAGGTATAATTCTAGGTACGAATATCAGTCGTTGTAGTTGTGATCATTCAACTTCTTGAGCCCTGAAGTTGCGTTTGCTAGGTCTGCCATCGTGATTGGTGTGGTCGCTCGTCGATCTCTTGCACTAAGAAGCTTGGTCCCTCACCAATTGGTTTCATAGCATCTCATGGCTCACATAAATGGCCCTGATTGAAGCCGCTTTGATACCAAATGTGGGATTTCCCGTCTTAAATACCACTTGTAGGAATTATCCTGGGGCACTGATAACTCATATGGTGAATTTTTTGGGCTCTGATGCCTCCCAAAATTCCTGAAAAATAATCACTTTGCACTACACGCTAGAGAAAGAGAGAAATACATAAAACATCTCACTGTAATTTCACTTATTACGACATAATCAGTACTTTATTTATTACACTCATTTATTACAACATTCATTATCCAAATTAATGCACCACTTATTAATTACACACTCTCTCACTTAACACTCACTCCCTCACCACTTCCCACACATTATTTCACCCACCACTCCTCTTTCACACTCTACACACTCCAACACCTCACTATATACTCTCTCACTACACTCTCTCTATATCTCTTTTACTCTCTCGTGCCGCTTGATGCTCACTTCACTTGATACCTAAATCTCCTAGCACACCCCCTATTTATAGGCTACAAGCACCACCTACGGCATCCAATATGTGGAGACAATTGTGCCCCATAGTGTGTATATAGGTCCCTCTTTCAAAAGCCCACATAGCTCTCAAGGGAGAGAGGCAGTGGTGAAGCTTTTAGAGAGAGGGAGGGGGAAAGCCACATATTGGTTCCTTCATTAGAAAACTGATTGAGAGGTAGTATGTGCTTCGATCTCTCTCAGTAATTTAACGTTACGTTCTTTGCCATGAAAATGCAGCTTTTGATAGATTACCGAGTAGTTTTTTATTCCATTTCCTACTGATGTAATAAATGTAATCAAAACAGTTAAGCAGAAACTAGCTTATGCAGTTTTCAACTACATTTCCTACTACCACAGTGGCTATAATCTGAAGTTGAAATGGCCTTCACTTTTTACTTTTTCCTTTTTATTTTTATTTTGGTAGTCTAGAGTTTATATTTTGTGCTGTGAATAGTTTAACTTATATTTTATCATAAGTAGTTTTTTGATTCCATTTCTGCTATTGATTATAAATTCTCTCATATTCCATTTCATGCCACTATACTAAATCTGAAATTTTTTGGATCTTAAACCTTTTATAATGATAAGGCACGGCATAAGAACAATTGTAAGCTGATTGTTAATTTCATTGTCTGTTACTGAAAGCACTGCAACATGAGATATCCATTGTTGTATAGTCCATTGCTCTAATCGTTTCGTTGTTTGCATAAAGTTTTTATTTGTTAACAGGCTTTGACTGCACAATATCTCCATATCAATTTTGATGTTCAAGGAATGTGTACACATTACTGTACTCAGGCTGATGAATAGACTGAACTTAGTTCTTTAAGTGACAAGGGTTTACCTTCCTTCCTAATTAGGTTATTGTATAATGAACTTACATATTTTTGTAATGAGGTTATATCTCAGTTCTAATTTAGCTTACTATCATTTGTAAGTAGCTTTTTGATTACATTCCTTTTCATTTGTAAGTAGCTTTTTGATTACATTCCCTTCCAATGAAATTACTATTGTCTGAAAAATTTCTGCTGTTATCTTCAACTTCCTCCTTTAATTTACACATTGCCTTACAAAAACAATAACTTGGTTATTAATCTTGTTCTCTGTTGCCATCTGTTATGGAATGCAAACCATTCAGTATTTCTTATTCCCATGCTATGATAATGAGGGTTCTCTTATACTTTATTCTATATCTCTGACAGATGTGTATTTATTCCTGTTCTATGAAAATCTTAAGAACAATTTGTAATTTCCTTCTCTCCTTGATCTTGCAGATGGATAAATACCAAGAGCAGGGTCAGCTTTTGGAACCTTATTTGGAGAGAATAGTGTCTCCATTAATGCATATAATCAGGCTCAAAACTCTGGACTTGGGGGCTGCCTCTGATCAAAACCTAGAATTAGTCAAGCCCCTATGCATCATTTTATATACTCTTGTGAATGTTTGTGGATACAAGGCTGTTACCAAATTCTTTCCACACCAGGTCTCTGATCTGGAGCTCGCTGTTTCTCTTCTCGAGAAGTGTCATCATGACACTGCAGCAACTTCTTTACGACAAGAAAGCACAGGAGAAATGGAGACAAAATGTATAATACTACTGTGGCTTTCAATTCTTGTCCTAATTCCTTTTGATATTTCATCTGTGGATACAAGTCTTGCTGAATGTCCCCATAATGGAGATCTTGGACCCTCACCTTTGGTACAGAAAATGTTTGGCTTCTCTAAGGATTATCTCTCAAATGCTGGACCCATGCGTAAGATAGCTGGGTTGCTTCTTTCCAGGCTTCTGACCCGCCCCGACATGCCTAAGATTTTCAATAGGTTTATAACACTTTTTGAATTACTTTTTTTGTTTTTTTGAATTTCAATTTTACTAGTAATTTTTGTTGGGTTCTCTTTCTGAATTTGAGTCACACTTCTCCATCTCAATGCTACTACTTAGAATCAGTTAAACTTTCTCAGTGGCTTAGTTGGATATGAATTCATTTCAAATGAAATGCATGGTTAATTGCTATGTGAAGGTCCACGAGTACATATGTAATGCTATACAACTTTTCCCCATTCTTCATTTCTGCTTTATAATTTATTTTTTACCGTTTCTTGTTTATCAAAAACTATGTGAAAATTTGATGTCCCCATTCCTTACCTAATATGCATTGGGAAGTCACTAATTTTCAAAAGGGATTGTATATTATAAGACCTTTCATTTTTGGTACAAGGGGATCACAATCACTCTTAGTCATTGGATGTAAAATCCGACAGGTGGAAGTGCATCACAACATTCAAGAAATCTTACTTTGGACTTTATGCCCTCCTTAACCACCAGATTTCACTCTAATGGTCAATGATGATTGTGACCTCCTTATATCAAAAGTAAATGGTCTTATTATATACATTTATTTTTCAAAATGCTGAGGGATCTTTCCCTTGTTTTCCTTTTTTTTTTCTTTTCTATCCCTCTTATTAAAGTTGATGTTCTGTCCTTTAAATCACATTGCCTGTAACACAAGAAGTTCCCTTTTTCCTTGATTTACTAGCCAATGTCTTTCTTCTCCATCTGTGTATCCTGCAGAATGGAAGCTGTAATGGATTAATGCAGAAATTGACATGCTTTATTTTGAATTTTCAGTTTCATTCAATGGACAGACGAAGTCCTGTCATCTTTCTCAGATGATGTTGCTGATATATTCATACTCCTTGGTATTCTGGAAGCATTAGCAGCTATTTTCAAGGTTCGATTGTTAGGGTTTTTACTCCATGCCATTTTGATAGTCTAGATTAATTCGAGGAAAAACAAGGGGTGATTTTTGAGAAAGACTAAATATTATCACTTGTATTTAGGTTCCTTTCTTTGCACTATTAAGGCTCCTCAAACAAACCTAAAAACATCATTTAGCTTAAATCTCCTACTTTTCGGTTCAGAGTTGAAAATGGTAGCCACTGTTTTGGCTCAAACTGAAGCATGGCCTCTCCCTTTTGATATCTTGTGCTTCCACTTTTTCTTTTCCATGTTTCATCTTCCTGCTCTGCTGATATTTGATCACATTGTGAAGTTTTCAGCCATGGACCTGTGGTACAATTCAAAAGCCAAGGGCTCCATTGGACTAGACAATTCTTCCAGTCAATAAATTCTTCACTCAATGGTAACATCGTAATCCTGTTTCCATGTGTCTGAGAGGCATCTTTGTCACTTCAGTGTCAATACATACTACTCCATTGCTTTAATTGGGACTCAGTTGTGATGCTTAAAAACTTATTATTCCATGATTTAAACCCTTCAAACTCCCGTAAGATCTTATGAAAATTCTTCACTTATTCCACAGAATCTTGCATGGCGAAATCTCCTCCACGTCTTCTCAATAAGTTGATTCCATAGTCTGGGAACCATGTGGGGGATATAGTGAGCATTGACTGAGTGAAGGGGAACCTGGTGCTACATTTTTATTAGTGGATTGAGTGAAGGGGAACCTAGTGTTACATTTTTATTAGTGGTTGTTTTGGAATCTTTTTGAATGTTTCTGAATCCTGTACCATCAGATTGGAAGCAAAATAAACATTTGGGGCAAAAATTAGCACATAATTGGAAGCGTTTGCAGTACAAAGTAATTGAAATATTTCAATTACTCTCAAAAGAGAAGTAATTTGCATTTTTTTTTTCTGAAGTTTATTCTCTTGAAGGGTCTAGGAAACTTATGGATCAATCATTTTGAATGGCGATTTTTTACAATATTTCAAATGTATTTAAAAGATTAGCACATACTGCTTTCATATATTATTATAAACTTGCTAATGGAAATGCAATTTCATTACAGCAGCCATAACTTCTTTTTTATACATACCTGTGCTGTAGTTCCACGTATGATAGTTTTGAAGAATTTTGTTCCCTTCTTGGGATATTTCTGTTTGTTTTCCTGTTTTTTTTTTCTTCTGTTTCTATTTGTTTTGAAAGGAAAACGTCAATGGGAATTTGACTAGAATCAAGAAATTGTAAAAGAGGAACCATGCCTTAATTATCCTACTAGGAGAGCGTGCCTCTTGGATGTGCAGATCCTTGAGGCGCAATCCTGGAGTTAAACAATGTATCCACGATTTAGTTCTTCTCGTCATTTTCAGCATCACATATGCTAAGATGGAGAAATTCAATCTCATAATACCATCCTTTCATAGTTTCCTTATCCTCTTTGAGTGCCTGTCTTTTTATTTTATTTACCTGTGGTCCTTACTCAGATTTCAAATGGTTGCTGATTTATTCTTAGCATTGTGTCGCAAACCTCAACATGCTGTGCTGATTTATTTCTAGCATTAATTTGCGCCTTAATCCTGCACCATTAGTGCTTTTTTCTTTTTTATAAATAATTTGACTGTATAACTTGTGAGCGTATATACTATGCTCTTGCTGGAGCATAGTGTTCATATACTCCTGCGGGCATATGACTTTAGGATTTTTTGAATCTAAAATTTTGAAACGACACGAGCATCATTAGATGATTATTTTCAAAAGAGAAAGTTTGAACTTTAAGTTTTCTAATCCTTAGATCTCACCCTCGAAAATTTGGATGGTCTTTGATCTATCTTGAGACATTCAAGTGGATAGAGAGTGCAATTTGGACTTTTTCCTTTTGAGGTTATTCTATGGGTTGAAGAGGTTACATCCCCAAAATTTGGGATTCTAAAATTGCTGCCATGGGAGCATGAAAACTTTCGGCATCTGTGTTATGATCTTTTCCTCTTACATTTGTTGATGCTTTAGTTTTTAAAGGCATAATACGTCATATGCAGGTTGGTAGTAAGAAGCTTTTACTTGACACTGTTCCCATTATTTGGAAAAACATCTCCATCCTGGTTAAATCTTCAATTGGAGCACGAAGTTCTTTGCTGCGGAAATTCCTGATGAAATTGACACAGCGTTTGGGGCTTGCTTGCTTGCCTCATCGGGCCATATCAAGGCGCTATGTGGTTAGATACTCACTTTCTTCTCTTGTGCATTATCTATTAGGACTGTTTTAATTTTGTTGACATTCACGTTTTCTCCTTAACTTTTATCAGGCAGCTCTATTGCCCTTAATCTCCATTTTCTTTTTGAATTATTTAGCTTTGATAGCAAAGTAAATAATCTGCTAAAGTGATTAGGAATTTGAGCAATTCGAGACCCTAGTCTATGGTTTTATTTTGCATAATGTATTTTTATCTCTGTGCAGGGGAGACACAGTTCTTTGGGGAAAAATCTCTCCTTGAATGTGGATGACGAAAGGGATTCATATGGGTCTGCTCAAGTTAAAAAAGATGAATGCATTGAAGAGGAAGAAATGGATGTTCCAGAAGTTGTTGAGGAAATAATTGAGCAATTGCTGACTGGTTTGAGGGATACGGTAGGGATGAATTGCTGGCCTATTGCTTCTTGTTCTTTTTTTTGAAATAGGATGGAAAAATCAAGTTAGTGGTTGATGTGTTGATTCCTTACAAAATTGTTTGGAATCACAGCTGCAGCACTGGGTCTGGATATGAACTTACCCACTGACGAAGAATGATACTTTTCTATGTTAGCTTCTATGCAATAGAACATAGTTTCGGGTAATAAATACTCCAGACTTGATCATATGTGCAGTTCCAGACTGGCAAGCAGCACATGCATAGGGAGGGATGGAGGGAGGGGGGGATGTTGCATTCTTTATTGACATTTATATAAAGAAGATCGTTATCTAAATCATACCATTGAAATACACATTAATTAATATCTAAGTTCTAATTTTATTCTTTAAATACACGTACAAAATATTTTAATCTAAATTAGATTAGTTTTTTCTATTTTTAGGATATTGACCCCAAAATGGGCTAGTTTTGAACGAGAAATGGGATATTATTTCATAGGACTAATTTTAAACAAAGGTATTTATGAAATAAACATTATGAAATAGGGTTAGTTTTAACCTGAAAGGGGGTCACCCTCCATATCCTAATTTACTATGTCGTACAGATTCCCAAAATATGCATCAATGCGACCTATAGACTTAAATATCATTCATTTGGAACTAGACCGTTAAAACTAATCTGCTAGTAGACAATGCAAAATTTGGTTAAAGAAATGTTGGTTAAGTTTGATTCGAGGTATTTTGTTTGGCTCTGTAATAATATACTTATATTGATACAATGGTAGAAGACTAAAAGGTGACATCAAATATATGGCATAAAAATCGTCGTATGGTTTGGACTGCAATGAATCTCTTATCTGGCTGAGGATCCATCTTACTATGCTATAAGAGTTGCAAAATTGTTTGGTTTTACAGGACACAGTTGTCCGTTGGTCTGCAGCAAAAGGTATTGGGCGCATTACAGGACGCCTAACAGCTGCCCTCTCAGATGAAGTCCTTTCCTCTATATTGGAACTTTTTTCTCCAGGAGAGGTTTACTTCCTAATCGTGCCAGTCCATTGTCGTTTGGTTTTCTAGTCATGGAAATGATGGTCCTTTTACTTCCAAAATTCATTTTCCTTCACTAGAATTGGTTATTTTGTAAGGACAATGCTGGGGATCTTGAATATGTAGTGATGTTGCAGGGTGATGGTTCATGGCATGGAGGCTGCTTGGCATTGGCTGAACTGGCTCGTAGGGGCTTGCTTTTACCAGTCAGTCTTCCTAGAGTGGTTCCTGTTATTGTCAAGGTAACAAAGCTATGTGCTGAGATCTTTGTAGTTAAGTATAGGGAGAGTATGGCATAAGCATGATGTGTATGCCTGTTGATATATATATTTATACATACATACAGAGGCCAGGGTGGTTTTGGCAGGGGTAGGGAGGTGGCATCAAACAGGTGTTGGAGATGACTTTTAATTTGGGGATGGCACATTTATTTGGAACTATGGTTCATCTCGACCGTCTGTCTTGAATACAGACTGTGGATGCCGGACTGTGTACTATGCAGCACACCTATGATGTGTATGCTACAGTTTTCGATTTAATGGTGTTTAACACGTTACTTGTGTAATTGTTTTATTTTCAGTTATTAATGAGTTGTGCATTTTTGTTTTGAATGTATTCAGTTGTTTAAATTCAAATTGCCTGTAAACTATAGTAAACTAAGGTTTGGATGATTTTGTAGTATGCTATATATTCATAAAACTCCTTGGCTGCCTAATAGGCACAACTTTTACCAAATGAGCTGCTGGCCTTGTTGGAGTTTGCATAGAGAGAATATCTTGCTAAACGTTACATGAGTTACTGCAATGACCATCTTGCATGCGCTGGTGTATGCAGTTAGCGTTTGCTTGATGGTAGAACCTTAGGGTCTTTTTCATTTGGAAGCTTGGAGGGAAAATGTGTAAACATTAGTGAACTATCACACTTTGTTTTGAAAATTCTTAAAATTTGACTTGTTGACAGATGGCCATTGGAGACCTCCTTTGCTATGGGCAACCACCAAATTAGATTCAATGAATCATTTTATGAGAGTCCTTGACATATTCTCAATTAGACTTTAGGGGTGGAAAGTAATTTACTCCCGAGCTTGACAAACTAATGAATCATGACTTGCTAACTTGTAAAGATATGTATACATGTACGGATTTGATACTCCCTAGTTTGTGCGTGCTCTAGACTTTGGTGTTGATCTCCACAGGAGCTTTAACCCTTACTCCTTGGTTTTGGTTGCCATTCATACTAATAAAGGAAGTCATATATGGAATTCTGGTGAACTTTCCAGCTCTAGCTTAAGATAATGAAGGTGAATTATTTTATAAATAACTTACTCTGTGTGAAATACTCTATCTAATAGATCACTTTGAAAATCCATGATGTGAGAATGAAGAAATGATTGCTCATAATTTTGGAATATTGCCTGATATTACATGCTTTTGTGTCACATGGACCTGGAAGATCATAAACTTGAAGACTGGAACTACTTGTATGTGGGGGCATCTAACATAGAACTTGTTCTGCTAGATTATAGCTGTAAGACCAGGGGATCATGGTGATGCAGCGAGGAAAGATAAATAAAATTAAAGAATAAGAAAACACGTAACATCATAGAAAATATCCTCTTTTTGGTCTGCATGGGAGTCCACCCAAAAGGTTGAGACTTGAGACATTTGACCATCTCTCTAGGACTGCAAATAAGTCCATCTTAAAAGATCTTGACCTAAATTCAACTCAACTTCTCCATACAGAACAATCACATCTATTCACAATACAAAAAAGCCTAATAGCAAACTGACTTTTAAGAGACCTAAATCTGACTCCTAAGAGACCTAACTTCTAATTTCTTTAGTTTCCCATTGTACCCCTGAATCTCTACAAACAAAAATGACTAAAATGACGCTATGAATAAAAAAACCTAACTCCTAAGTATATCATTCTTTGGGGTTTGAAGAAACTTGATCGTGCTTGTTGTAGTCTTTCATCCTTTAAAGGGCTCTCAAATAATTAGTGGTGTAGTCCCACCTTTTGTCTAGCTATTTTCTTCTATTTAGTCAACCAACTAATAAAACAATTAATGTGGAGCTTGAAGTGGAACTCTAGGAGTTAAAGCTGAATCCTAATTTCTCTTTTGCGCTCAACCACTTCTTCATGCTTTACACCAGGATTGGCTATCGGAATACTTTGTGGTGTTTGATTCATGCTCGGATTAGAGGTCGGATGTTAGACATATTCATTGCATTCTTCTTCCATGCCCTGCTTGAATATGTCAAATGTTTTTAGTATGCTTTCTTGTAAATATTAAAAATTTGATCCACTTACTCCAAAATTGGACCTGTCTTGTCTGCATATGCTTTTGATTGCATCATACTGTATGGATCCTGAGGCTTTGATACCAAATGATGGAGGGAGGAAAGAGAGAGAAAATAATATCAGCAATTAAATAAAAACTGAGAGAAACTACCCTCCCTTGTATCTGCAGGTGAGTCCAGCTTGAAGGTTGTGAGATTTCACCCTCTCTAGTCTTTTAAGGGAGCTCATCCTAAGAATCTTTTTGCAAAAAGTAAACTCAATTCAACTTCACTGTATAAAACAACATAGGAAATGAAAAACCTCAATCGATAGCTCGGCTCCTAAGAAACCTAAATCCTGAATTTTTGATTTCCTATTTTGCACCTGAAGTCTCTACAAACACAAATTACTGAGATAACCCTATAAAAAATATATTAGTTGGTGAGCATGTATCTCAACCTCATGAATTTTGACTCCATGACAACCAATTAGATCCTCATTGTGGAGGCAATTGTTATCACCAAGGTCTTACAATCCTCCTAGACAATACTTTAGCTCCAAATGAATTTTGACAAGTTAGGGCTGAATTTATCCATGGTTGTATTTTAGTTGACTCATGAATTACTGATTATGTGTATGCTTGAATTTCTGAATTTGTTTGTGAATGCGTGGTATTATGATTTGAAATGTATGTCAGTTCCACTTACGGGTAGAGGTTACCATGCCATCACCCATTCGAGTTGCTTCGCTGGTCCAGTCACACAACATTCAAGCATGTTGGTGGTTGTTAATGGGCAATTTACGGCAGTGACATGTTGATCCTATACTTGTGCTATATTTGTTGATGAGTTTGAGGAAAGAGTCACCTTTTCCTTCAACTTCAATGTGATTTGCAGGGTGAGATTATCCAGGCTTGAGTAGCGAGTAGCTTGACATGTAATGGGTCATACGTCATTCAGGGTATTTGGCTCTAGCGTGTGGTCTAATGGTCTCATTCCCTCCCAAGGGGCGCATATCTTTAGGAGGCTGAATGCCCTTGTGATCCTTTGGGGGCTGTGGAGAGTGTTCAATTGTAGGATTATTAGGGTATTGTTGATTAGCCCCTTTGGTAAGAGTCAAAGTCAAAGGCCATTTCATGGGTGATATTGAAGAAATCAATTTCATTGTTAGGACAAGGAATCTTATTGGGAGTTGGAGGGCCTTTGCCCATAGCATGACGATTACTTTGAGACGTTGGCCCAGTGAAAATGACAAACCATATTTGTCATTATGCCAAAAAATTTAGTGTGCTTATTTGGCAATCCCTGCCTAGTGGGAGTTGGATTGTTCTGCTACTGCAAAGGAGTTTCCTCATGGCATACCCTTAGTACATTTGACACACCTGACAGAGATATGAATGTTACAGGAATGAAAATTTGAGCACTTTTTTTTTTGAAGCCTCTTGTGTGGAAGGCTATTCCCTCAAGGTTGTTAGATGGCTAGGCACGACTCTCCCACCTCACGGTGTTAGGCGGGTTTGCTTGCAAAGGCCTGTATTCTGTATCTGCCTTTCCTTTCCTCTGCTTCCCAGAGGCCATTGAGGCAGCAAACGCACTAGCCAAGGGGGGCATTTTCTGTTGTTCATTTATCATAGGACTCTTGCTGTAGTTGCTTCTATTGCTAGCATCCTTTTTGGGCGGCTTGTGTTCTCAACATTGGATGCTGACAAAGAGAGTTGCGAGTCCTGTTGTGCGACTGTGATCCCAACTGAAAACAGGAGAAGTTTTAACTGAATAACCGTCTACTCCTCACCATTCGTATCTGTCCTTGTGTTCTTGGAATGGATCTTTGAGGCCCATTTGGATGCACAATATGTCATATCAATGAAAACCTTTCTTGCATATGGGGGCAATCATCGCCATGCTAGACGGCCTAAAGCAAGTGACCACCTTCACTGGAAGCACCCAAACCCTTTTAGTGGAGGGAGACTGTAACCATGTCATCTCTTGGCTACCAGGAAAACTCAATCCCCTTGACGGCTAGCTCATTAGTTTGATCGCATTTACTCTCTTTGCTGGGGATTTCGGGTCACATTCAACCTTATTCCAAGGGAGGCCAACACCGTAGCTGACAGTTTGGCCAAATAAGGAGCTTCCATAGTGGCTCAGCCAGCACAGTTTACATCCTAGATCACTCTCATTTCTCTCTCTCATGTCTCCAGCTCTTTTATCTCCTCTCTCGTTTTTCTTTCTTTCTGTCAGTCTAATGAACAGCCTACCTCTCGAGGCAATGTTTTCGTTTTTGGTTTCCTTTACTTTCTCTCTTTACCCCATTATGTAACAGAGAACCTGAGCTTGTAGGTCGCCTTAAAGGGGTATCGTTGGTACTACGCTAATATATTTAATGCTGCAGTTAACTTTTTCCCCGAAAAAAAAACTTTATGGCCAATCCTTTAAAACTCTATTGGTTTTAAGAAAATAGAAGACAAATTGTATGTTTTTCAGTCTTACAGGCGTTTAGGCTGTGTTTATAGAAGAGAAGGGTAAACAAATAGGCTTCTTTGTGTATAGTGTGGTGCACCATGCTGGAACATTAATCGCTCTTTAATGGGTCGATGAAAAAACAGAATTATTCCTAAAATCTCATGCGGCCAAATGGAGCTGAAGCATATCCTTGGGATGCTTGAGTAGTCTTCTGGCTTAGTGTCTTATGTTGATGTGGATCTTTGTGATCCTTGTGGTGGGGCCCCGTCCCAGATTTTGAGCAATGCCTTTACAAGGAACTCCAATAATAACAAGATCAGGAAGTTTGCCACTTGATGATTTGGTTCTTTGCTTTCTGGTGAGTGTACCATTGGACTGGCTATCTGTGTACAACAATTAGAACCTTTTGTTTTGCTTCCATGCCCTAAATCTCATTGTGTACATCGTGCTCTAGTTTGGTTTACTAGAAATTTTACATACACATAACAAGTTCTCTA